AAAAAGCCCAGGGAGCCTGGGGATCACCCCATGGGTAGGAGCCAGTGACGCACTGGTACTTGAAAGCAGGAACCATGCTGGGTTGTATTAGCAGGTGCTGGGTATGGACTGGTAGGAGGCACAGCGTCCAGTTTCAGAGGCTGTACGTTCAAAGGGTATGCAGGCGGGCGCCTGGGTGGCTCAGTTGGTTAAGCGACTGCCTTCGGCTCAGGTCATGATCCTGGAGTCCTGGGATCGAGTCCCGCATTGGGCTCCCTGCTCAGCGGGGAGTCTGCTTCTCCCTCTGACCCTCCCCCTCTCATGCTCTCTGTCTCCCATTCTCTCTCTCAGATAAATAAATAAAAAATCTTAAAAAAAAAAAAAAGGGGGTATGCAGGCGCGGGCTGGGAGCCAGAGAAAAGCAACAGAAATGCTTAGAGGAATGAATTCCAAAAGCTATCAAGAAAGGTGCAAAAGAGTTGAGGTTTGTCAGTTTCTGAGTTTGAGGTAAAAAGAAAAAAATATATATATATATATTGGTCATCTGATCAGCTCTGCCCGGCTTCTCTGTTTAAGTGACCACATAGTTACTCAGGATTAAAATGCTCTCCCCTCTACACGGCCGGTTTCACCAAGAAGACGGAGACAGGAAAAGATGAGATAATTTGCTCAGGTTCCCATAGCAAGCCATGAGCAAAACTGGCATCATAAGGTTCAACCCCAGGGCCGTCTGTGGGGTGTTTAATCCACCAATCCACACCACTTCTCTTTATAATGGACGCCCCCAAAAGACTGTAACAATGGAAGATGGAAAAATCCTCTGCAGATTTCCTTGGGAGAGAAATAAAACAAACTAAAAAGGAATGTCATGCCTCACTGCTGAGGCCCATATAAACATCATCCTCTTGTGTCCCCCTGGACTGATGACAAAGGACACGGTCCATCTGATGAGCTGTCAGCAGATGGCAGGATCCCTCATTGTACCCATTTACCCACCAATGTCAATTCCAAGCAAGAGCTGTTATCAGTGCTCCAGACAACAGATGGGGATGAGGAGGTATGGCTGGTCTCAAGTCAAGGAGTTGGGGGGGGAGCAGGTTTGCAAAAAGCCTAGTTCTCAAATCCATCAGGTCCTTCTCTAGAATAAATCCATCATGGGGCTCACTCAGAATTACTGGTTGAAAACCAGTGGCTTGGGGCTCCGGGGTCTATGGCATCGACTGTTAATTTAGCAAATATCCAGCTTGTTTCCAGCTTGCCTTATGTTGTGCCCCACTAAGTTTGGTACCTGATCAGGAGTCGTCAACACAGACACATTCAGAGCCAATGGGAATTGGACAATTCGAAAAGACATCCAAAATGGGATCGTTCTATTACATTCCTAGGACAGAGACAAGGTGGCAGGATGCAAGGGCGATAAAGGGCCACTAGCTGAAGAACACCAGTCTTTACAGATACAACCAGTCAAAGTTCTGGCTTTTTAACCCTCCTGCTGAGAAGTTGTAGACTTGGGGACTTAAGTGGCTACGAGAATCGCTTTCTGCTAAGGCCTCGATTCCCACAGTGGCAGCTCAGTGTTAAAGCCGCCTCTGCCATGACGTTGCTGGGTGATTTCTGGCAAATAGCATAATCGCTGTGTAAATTCATTCCCTGTCACTCCCACCTGCCAAAATAATACGCATGAAGGAAGTAGCCATGTTTGAAGAAATACTTATTGGTGTAATTGGGAAACACCCCTGATATTCACCAAGGGGCTTAACAACGGTGTGTGATTCTTGCTTGGCACTTGCTGACCCTGAGAACCCTCCCACGTCTCTGGCTTAAGCTGAGATGGGAGACACTGGCACTTGGATCACACAAACCGCTATCACCCACAGTCCTGGGGCCTTCGAGAAAGCAGATGAGACCAAAAAGAAACTGGACAGCAGGAATATTAATCAAGACCAGAACTCAGCCACAAAAACGGCCCTTCCTTATGCTTCTAAAGCTGGCAGTCACCCAAGAGCAGCATGGCTATGATGAGGGGCTGTTTAAAAAGGCCTTGGGAATAAATATTTTACAGACTGAAAAATGGGAGATGGGGAGACTAACCAATTTCCCTCCAACTCTTCCACTTCCTGGCCTAAAGCAATACTGTCCTTGTTATAAACTTAGGTGGACTCAGAGGAACAAGGCCTTTCTATGAAGCCCAAATTGAGTCATCCTGTGGAGAGAAACACATCAGAAATGTTTCTGCTAAGCTGTCTCTTTCATTTCAGCCAATGTGTCCCTTGCCTTTTCAGGACCTCTGAACTCCACAGAATGTCCTGCCATCGTGCAGCCTAATTCAGCAAGTTCACTTGCCAAAGCGTTTGTCTGTACTCAACATCGCCCCTCTGGAATATACACAGCCGCAGGAAACATTTTAACGTCTCTTTTTCCAGGCCCCGGCTAACCTATCATGACCCTAAACAAGATCATGTCCGTGAAAGTGCCTTATAAACAGTAAAGTGCCAGATAAGTGTAAGGTATTATTAACCAGACTTGCTATCTTTAGTCCTTGCCGCAGTCAAGTCGGAAAACTGTTTCCAACCATCTGTTGTTAATTTTTCTTTAAGGACTCACAGCAACTTTTAAAAATCCATACTTCCCTGCTTCCCAGGAAGAGCCATAGGCAGGGTATGGGATGTGGGACTGACCAAAGGCTGGGGCCCGCAGCAGGCCTGAGGTGACTATTTAAATGACACAAAGCAGTGACAGGAGTAAAGAGCAAAGGAGAATAACCCTGGTCAGGCTCAAGAATTCCTCAGCATGACTCTGTGCTCTGCCTCGGCCCTAGGGCTTCAGAGTTTAAGGGAAGCACAGGACAAAAGAAAAAGCACAGGTGACAGGAATCAGTCCCTAGACAGCCCCCTCACCTCCTGCCCAAGCACCCATCCCTCTGCAGCCGCCAGCCCCAAGTGCCATCATCTACACGTGTGCCCAAGGGTGGCCTGGTCAGGCCGACTTTACTGGGGAGATACAGGAAGCAGAAGATGAACAAGGCCACCTGACGTCAGCAAAGAAGAAACGAGTTTCCCTTTTTCCACACGAGGAGGCCAAAAGCATTTCCAGAATAGCCGGCTCTCTGTTGCATCCCCGGCCACTACTTAAGGAGAAAAGAATCAGAGAACGCTGACCGCCCAGAGCTGGAAATGCAGCTCTGTGTCATTTTGCAGATGGGCAAACTGAGGCCCAGCAAGTGTCTTTTTCCTCAAAGTCACACAACTAATTAATGCCAGAACCGTGTCTCCAGAGGCTTCTGAAAGCTTCTAAAAACCTTTCCACTGAAAACCCTGGTGCTGCCAGGTTTGATGTCATCACACCAGCAGCAGCCCCAGTCAGGCTGAATTTAGTCCTTTGTTGACCTTCTAGATATGTGGCTGCCAGAGGCCTCAAGACCCCTTTGTAGAAGAGGCACCCTCTGACCCTCACCACCTGCCATCCAAAAAAAGCACTCCTGTCCCAAGAGCCTCACATAGCAGCGGCTGAGATGCGTTGTTTCCTCTCATTAACAAAAAGCCCATTCATAAAAAAGAAAGAAAGAGGACTGGCTCAAATTTACCCAGAAGGTCTAGCTGCGAGAGCCCTGGGCTTCTTGTGAATGGCATCACATCCCAAGAAGCCCTCTCTTAAAAAAAGAAAAAAATGCTGCCCTCCAGCCCCGCTCGGTGCTGCCAGCCACCCGACCAATAACACCCTCTTTATTCCACAGCTATCCACACCTCCCTGCCACGTCTGTAAAGACGGGAAGGGGCTCGAGGCCACTGACCACATTTTACAGATTGGGAAACTGAGGCCAAGAAGCTGCAATCAAAGGAGTGCCTAGCACACAGACCGAGCAAGTAGGCAGCGCCATGCTGATCAGCCTCGGCTTCTCCCCTGAGACAGCCCTGTCATTCCACTGACAGCCTGCAACCCCAAAGAGGGTGGGTTAGCTTTCCAACCCAGACGCTAATTCATCTTTGGGCTGCAGGCAAGCGACCTCCCGTCCCTGGGCCCCACCAGGCCTGTAAAACCAAGATAATAATCTCAACCTCTTGCCCCACACCAGACTGTCACAAGTCTCCTGAGAATAACCTTCTACAAATATAAAAGCAATAAAGATGCTAATGACAGGTTTCCAAACTGTCCCTGAATAAAACACACCAGGTTTCTCACAGCCTGAAATCTAAAAACGATTTTTTTTTTCCCTTTTCTCCTCTTCCTCCTCCTCCATGATTTTATAGTTTTAGAACATCTCTCCACACAGGCTGAGTACAGAAAGACAGTCTCACTCTTGGTCCTCACCCAGATTATTTTTATGTATCTGGCAACTTTCCTTTTCAGTCCCATTTGTTTTTCTTAGCACCGCTAATGGGAGGTAAAGAAATCAGCTCTCTGAGCACCCCAGACCATGACCACAGGGAACAGAGTAAGAGCAAGAAGATGGAGAGGTCTGCAAAAAATAAACAACCCTCTCACCATGGATAGAGATCACCCACCCAAAGTTCACGAGTCAGCCTGTTTCAGAGCGCACTTAGTAGGAGCTTGGTGCTGGCTCCAGCACCTCAGTTCAAAGGCAGACCTTGCTCAACCATGAAAATCCCAAATGAAAGAGTCATTAAGGGAAACCCATAAAAGTATTTCCCCAAAGTAGCACAGTGGGGACAAGGAACCTTATGTGACCACCTCTAGGAAAGAGTGTCATCAGGCCTCTGGGAAATTAACTGCAGCAGAGGGGATGGGGGCAGGCCGTGGACCCCAGATGTGACTCAGAAAGGGCACCTGGCTGGGGCTGCACTTCCGGCTTGTGAAAGGCCAGGGCAGGGCTGGGGGTGGGGGGAGGGATAGCCCACCAGAGTGCCAGTGGGTTCCTAGGAACACGGTGGCAGAGCCCTTGGAAAATCATTTTTAAGGGTCCCACTTCCCGCCGGATGAAGTGCCCTACACTTCCGAGTGTCCTGAGCACACAAAATGACTCTTATCACTAAGGCTGCCACGGAAAAAGTCAACAGACTCACATGCATCATGGTGACCAGGTGACAGGGGTTGAGCAGGTAGATGACGGTCTTGGTGGCGAACTTAAAGCCCACCTCCACCCCGAAGGTCAGGCACAGGGCTACTAAGAGCAGATTCTTGCTCAGGCTCTCCTTGCCTTCCTCTGGCCGCTGGGTCACCTTATCTGGCTGGCAGCCACGGCCACCCCTACCGTCCTCCTTCGTCTGCCTCAGGATGTGCCGCAGGGCCACCAGGATCTCCAACAGGGCCAGGGTCAGGACCACCACACTTTCCAGCAGCCGCTGCTGCCAAGGGAGGAAGGCAGCACAGTCGGGGCCCCCATTGCCTGCAAAGCTGGGGTCCACGCCCCCATAGAGCCAGTCCAGGAGACTTTGGTAGCTATACCGGGACATGATGCCAAGTGGTTCCCCTCGACCACCGTGCAGGAAGAAAGAGCGAGATGGAACACAAGCCCCGAGGGTTGCCCGGGTGCTGGGACGTGTACGGAGGGCACACCCCCGCACCCGCACCCCCCCCCTCCAGACACCGGGGCACCTAGAGCGGGGGGGGAGGGGAGCTACACGCGAGGCCCGGGGTCAAGTGCTGGCTCTAACTTGTCCCCACGGCTGTCTGGGGAGCCCCCCGCGCTTCTCCAGTGGCCACCAACGAGGCAGGGTTGAAAGGAGCCGTTGGCCAATCTAAAAGGAAGGAGAGGAAGAAAAAAAAAAAAAAGGTCTCAAAGAGGCAATTGCATCGGGAATTACGAAGCGGGGCGGGCTAACTAGCGAGGGCAGAAAAAGGGAACAGGGGCAGTGGCGAAGCAGGCAGGGGTCAGGGGAAGCCGGAGGCCGGGAGGGTCAGGGCGAGGGCCGAGAGGACCCGGCAGTGCCGCGGGAGCCAACCGGGGAGCGGCGGGGGTGAGAGCTAGGGGACACGCGGAGGCCAGGAGAGGAGCTAGAGGGGCCGGGCAGGCGGGGAGGGCGACGGGGATGGCAGGGACGCCGGACTCCTCGTCTCACGCACTCGCCACAGGGGGATCTCTTACTCCTGCAACCGCGTGGCCGTCTCTGCCCCCTGCTAGCTACTTCGCCGCCGACGGGCCCCTCCGGCCAATTTAGCGCCGACCCGGGCCGGCCGCCCGCCCCCGGGTCCACCCCCGAGTCCCCAGCTCCACCCCCGGCCCCAGACGCCAGCCCTCGGGCAGCACCTCCCCCCCCCCGCCCCGCCCGCGGCCAGCCCGGGACCTGCCCCCCTGGCGCAGGCAGCGGCGGGAGGAAGCCGCGGGGAGTGGAGGGGGGGGGGAACGGGAGGCCGGGCCAGCCGGGGGCTGGGCTTCGGCCGGCCCCCTCCCTCCGCCCCGGCGCCGCATCTGCCCGCGCCTCCCGCCCGGCCCGGGAACCGGCCGCCGCGCCCCTCGGGGCTCCACTCACCCGCAGCTCGGCCCGCGGCCCGGGGTCGGCGGCCGCTCGGCTCCCGCGTTCCGCGCGCTCCCCGCGCCCCGGCGCTCGGCTCCCCCGGCGGCCGCAGCTGCCGCCGCCGCCGCCACCGCGCGCGGCTCCTCCTCCCCGTCTTCCTCCCCCTGCAGCGGCCGCGCTCGCTTCCTCCTTCTTCCCCTCCCTCTCTCCTCCCCCTCGCCGCCTCCCACCCCCCCGCCCCCGGCGTCCCGCGCAGCCTCGCGCCCCCCCCCCCCCGCGCTCCAAGCCCTCGGGCCGCGACTGCCCCGCCTCGCCGCCTCCCCGCCGCGACCTCCCGCGCTCCCCCCCCACCGCTCCCACCGTTCACACCTCCCACCCTCCCTCCCGGCCGTCCCTCCGCCCGGCCTCCCTCCTCCTCCCTCCTCCGGCCTCAGTCCCCGCCTCCTTCCCCTCCTCCCCGGCCTGCCTCGCGTTGGGCGCTCCTCGAGCCAGCACGTGTGCACCTCTACCTTCCTTCGCCGCCGTCTACACAGTTCGCCCCCTCCGGGAAGCCTTCCCGGCCGCCTCCAGCTCCCGCGACCCGGTTCCCCCGGGCGCGTCTGCGTCCACCGAGCACATAGTAGGCGCTCAGCGGGCCCTCACCAAGCTCGGGGGGAATGAATCAGCCTGTCTAGCGCCGAGCTGCTGTGCCGGCTTTGCTTCACGGGGCGTTTGCTGGGCATGACCTTCTGCTCGGCGCGTCTCCGCCTTTCCGCCCTGAAACTAGACTCCTGCGGGACCAGGATGTCCCCTTCCCTTCCCTTTCGTAGCCACGATCCCACTCCCCCACTTCAGCGCCTGGGGATGGAGGCCCCTTTGCCTCCTGCTCTGCTCCAGTTATTTTTCTCTCTTTACTCAGGCCGCAGGCACTCCCTCTCCCGGCCCTCCTCCCTTTTTCTCCTGCCGTGCCCTCCGTGGTAGATTTGCTGCAGGAAAAGAAGCTTCCCCTGACCTCCTTCCCTCCCTTCTCCCTGCAAGGGAGCTGCTGCTTCCCAACCCGCACGGAGCTGAGTGCCCTGCCCCTGGAGGCCCGCCAGGACAATGGGGGGTGTTGCAGGGGCCCAGGAATCGGATAAGAGCCTCTGATTGGAACAAGGTCCCCTCTTCCTTGCTGTTTCCTACCCTCAGACTGTAGTTCGCTCTTCTTGGGACAAGAAAGCAGGAAAAGGACCTCAGCATCTACTTCATGTTGGTTTAATATTTATTGAAGACTCACAGTGAGTTAGGAGAATATCCAGGAAAAACACAGTTAGGCACTTTGCCTAGGAAACACTTTTGGGTGTTGGCTGCAAGCCAGACTCAAAACATTAAAATACAATCTGCTGTATTATCAGGCCATTGTCCTCCCATCCTTTCCAAGTCTGGTTTTCCCGACAAAAAGAGCTTCAGAGCCAGGTAGCTTTATCTAATTCCAAGCTTTGTATGGTCTCCACCATAGGCCTGATGCTCTTCAAGTGCTAATTAATAAAGAACAAACAGCAACAAACCGGAATTGATTCTAGGGCTCACTCATTCATTCTCCTTAGGTGTTTTATTAAATCCTCTGCAACATAACCAAGGAACATTAAGGATCAGGTTGCAGCGCTCCTGGCAGAGACGTGCAGCATCAGGAGACCTCAGGGTTCCTATCTCCGAGGAAGTGAGAATGAGGTTATAGAATTCAGTAAATGACTTCATGAATCCCTCCGGTTTTCATGCTGAACCTTGGTTGGCAATTTGGCCTAGAGGGCCCTGTGTTTGCAAAATGACCTTTAATGACTGTAGCCAGGCCAACTTCCACACCTGAGTCCCAAATTCCTCTTTTTCACAGATAGGAGAGTCCAGTGGTTCTAGGACCCGGGCTGTAATTCCCTTTACTGACTGTGTCACCTTGGGCAACTTAATGCAACCTCTCTGTTCCTCAATTTCCATTAACTTAGGGCTATTGGTTATTCTCCAATTCCTAGGATGACGCACTTGTAAATGAGTTGAATTATGTGGAACCCTTTGCAGTATCGGGTGCAGAGAAAGTGCTCAATGAACCCTACCCATTATGGATACCCAGTTCTGCAGCTGGGTGTACTGGAGCACAAGCAGGCCTACACCCTCGAGCTTAGTGCCCTCCCCCACATCTGCATAAACAATCCTACCCATCCTTCAGATCTCACGTGATATTGCTGTCTCCCCCAACCCCCAGCCCCAGCTCCCAGAGCTTTCTCCCTCCTCTGAACTTCTATAGCAGTTACTGCCTGCACTACTCATTTTATCCTGAATCACATACTGCCTCCCATTGTTCTCTCATTGTTACTCCTGTCTCCCACACTCAGATCTTTGACAGCAGGGGATGGGTCTTAATCTTTTCTAATCCCCTCCCCCTACAGCACCTAGCCGAGTGGCAAATACAGGAGGCACGAGACAGACACTAGGAGATTTTTGTCCCCCTGGGTAAAAGGCAAGCCATAATTGAACCAAAATGGTGGGTCAAATTTTAGAAACTCGAAAAGACTCAGACAAAGGTCCCGATCGTTTCCTTGCTGGGACACAGGCCAGAGGCTTCTTGTCTCCAGTCACAAGAGCAAATGAACTTTAAAGTGGAGCCTTGCAGGGCATGGTGAAATGGCAACCTGGAATCCAGGCTCCCTTCAGGGAGATCATGGGGGAAAATCAGCTCTCCCGGCTTCAGGGTACTGAAGGTGACCGTGGACCTTCATGGTGGTGAAGGGAAGCAGAACTTGTCACCCCACCCCTTTGGCATAAGGAGTAGTTTAGGCTGATTATATTTTAAAAACAGCAGACACTGGAAAATCTCTGAAAACTGAGAAGTTACTCTTTTGTAAGAGACATTTGCAAGAGGAATCTCTTTTTGCCTTGGGTCCTTGACCTGCTGCCTTGACTTGCTGTCCTCATATTTGGCCGAAAGGTGCAAATCCCACCCTATTTCACAAGAATATGACTGGGACAAAGAAGATTATACACATGAGGCTCTTTGTAATCTTGCTGATATAGAATCCAAAAGATGATTATCGTCCTTAAATCTTAAGTAATGAAAAAGTCATGCTTTCACGAGGGAAGACACTTAGGACACATGTCACGTCCCTACTAAGAAAAGAAATAAAAACTTCAGTGACAGCACACCCTACCCCCTCCCCCCAAAAAATGGTCTTTGGTTTGAGGTAGACTAACTTTGACCAGAAACTGACATTATTAAACCTTTTATTTATAATCTAGAAAGCCCAAGCCAAGTCAAAGAAAAAGTTCAAGACGAAAATTTGGTCCTCAAGCTTCCAAATGTAAACTTGCCCTTAATTCCATTCATTGACCATCCGTGGAAAAAATGTTTTCTTGGCTTATGGTCCCTAAGGTACCACTCTGTCATCAGAAATTCAGTTTGGCATTATTTGGCTATTTAAGTCATGAAGCAGTCAGGCGGTTGTCTTTTGTCCAGGGGTTCCAAGAAAGGTCTGTGGTTAAATGTCACGAGCTCAGGCAGAGCCAAAAGCTTGCTGTGGCATACTGGGCAAAGGAGGGCACTCTTCAGGACTTGGGCTGCTTCCTCTGTCCGTGACACAGCCTCCGCAAGCCTGGCTGGGCAGTCCGGTATTATAGTTGAAAGCACAGGGGACTGGCAGCCAGGACACCTGGGATGGATTTGACTAGCTTGGGCCAGTCACTCCCTTTCTTTGGGTCTTGGCTCTCTCTTTTGGAATCTGAAAGGATTTCAGTCACTCCCTCTAAATTCCCTTCTGGCTTCAATATTCCCTGAAAATAATGGGGGCACGTTAGTGTGGGAGAACTGGCCTTACAGATTCGGGCAGCAGTTTGGAATCCCTGATACCCCTTTTCTTGTCTATACCATAATGAGGTAATGAAGGAATTGCTTCATTGAATAGAGACATACATTCATTCATTGCCAGCTAAGTTAGTGCATGGAAATGGCAGACCCGGCATCTTCCTGAGGGAGGCTCATTTCTCCTGGCTGTTTTTCCTCATATCCTTTGTTACTGTTTTTTTTTGTTTGTTTTTTTTTTTTTAATAAATATGTATTAAGGGACACTGTGTGCCAGGTAAGATGTGCAAACAGGTATTTTATAGCTAAGATTTCACAGAAAACATCGTTCGAGCATTAGAATGCATAAAGGCACATCGCTTTTTTTGGCAGAAGTTGAGTGTTGCAAGAAATATTTTAAGACCCGATGTCAAAATTAACATGAAAGTATCAACTTTGTTTTATGTGTCAATATTTGAATAACAAAGTAAATGAACAAACTGGCCCTGAAATCAGATAGACATGGACTCAATTCCTTGTCAACAATGAGCTTTTGCATCCCCAGGCAAGTGACTTAACCTCTCAGAGCCTTTTTTTCCCTCCTATGTAATGTGTTATTTGCAGTATTTACCTTGCAGGGTGGTGGTGAGGATCAATGTGGTAATATATATGGAAAGTAGCTAGCACCCTGCCTGGCAAGTAAGGGACTCCATAACTGTTTGCTTTAGGGATTTTTCCCCCCTTTTCAATTTCAAAAAAATGCATGCTTTAATCCTAAAGCAGAAATCAAATCTACCCTGAGTGGGTCAAGTGGACCAATTTTCTGTTGAATGCCCTTTCGCTGCTGTAGCCTCAGGTAGAACTGACATCCTGTCCCGCCACAACATAGCAGTGGTGTTATTAGGAACCTCACACTTTTCCTGCAGGGGAAGAAGAAGGAAAGAAAGAAAGAAAACGGGCGCCTGGGTGGCTCAGTTGGTTGAGCGACTGCCTTCGGCTCAGGTCATGATCCTGGAGTCCCTGGATCGAGTCCCACATCGGGCTCCCTGCTCGGCGAGGAGCCTGCTTCTCCCTCTAACCCTCCCCCCTCTCGTGTACTTTCTCGCTCTCTCAAATAAATAAATAAATCTTAAAAAAAAAAGAAAGAAAGAAAGAAAGAAAAAGAAAGGAAACCAAGCATCTGGTACATGTGCCAATTGATTTTGAGATATGGGCAAGCTGGCGGTTTGTAGTTGCTCTTTTCCTGAATCGCAACGCTGTCGGACATCAATATGCTGAAAGCAATTTTGGAAAGCTTGCTTGGGAACCCCTGGAGGATTCTGAGAGCTGTAAGCGCATCCATTCTAGCTCTAGGCAAGTCCTCTACCCTAACC